AAGCCCTCATGGTTTTGCTTTGAGCTTCTCCAAAAGGCCTCATACTAATCGAGTGAGTATTCCTCACTTATAAACCCATGATCATTCCCTAAATTAGCCGATGTGGGACTTTCATCATCCAACACATCTAATTTGGCAACCCGACAACTCGGACCAACCCTGGGTTATTTTTTCTGAACCCGAATTGATTGGGCTCGGTTCGGGTTCATAGGACAAAAACATCGGGTTGACCCAAACTAAAAAATCTTATAAAACGTACAGATTGGTAATTAGCGTCTACTAGGACTTCTCTGTGCGCAGGTTCGACTCTTGTCTAATTTATTTATTTTATTACTTCAATTTATATTTTTTATTACTTTATTATTTTTAGTTTTTTTAATTTAATTTATTTAAATTATAAATTTATTTTTAAATATATATAAATAAGGTGAGTAAACTAACCAACAACCTTCCATAAATTTTATCTTAATGTTAAAAATATATAGTATATAGTATATGATAAGTAATTGAATATGATTTATATATATATTTATGTTATTTTAAAACAAAAACATATATTGATACATGTATTTGAGTAATTTTTTTTTTAAATTTGAAAATTCTATATTTGTGTTGATTGAAAAACTGACTTTAAAATCCATTTTATTTCTCATCTATCATTTTTTTCGACGGTAAATAAATGAATTTAAATACATAGTTTAAAATATTTTCACGGTTCTACCGTAGCGAGCTTATAGACCAACTTTTAGTAATGGTGAGAGTATTTTTTGACTGTTTTAAGAGTTTTTTAACTCCTAAAATTGTGTATCAGTAGATTTTTTTTTCAATGATCCTAGATTGATTTATGTTTTTTTTGGGTACTATTAATATCTTTTATCTAAATTCTATCGAATAATTATGAAGGGTGGATAAATAAAATTTTTTAATTTTTTTTAAAAAAATTAACAACCGGACAACCCAACTCGAAAATAGAGGATTGGATTGGGTCAAAAAAATTCCCTCCACCAGTTCCAACCATGTACACCCCTACTGAACTTTTATATTTTGCCGTTCGCGTGATATTTTTTTTATTTTAAAATAATATACATACATGTTTTTTTCTCTTCTTCTCTCGGACCCTTCTTATTTTTTAAATAACTCAACTTTTTTAGTCGAAACTCAAATAATATTTAAAGCATTGAGTAGCGGACGTGTACGTAGGACCCAACTCGAATAGGTAGATTCTATTTGGGTCTGTTGTACAAATCTCCTAAGGAAAAAAAATATATATATATTATCAAAATAAAATCGGAAAAATCCCTAAAACTACGGAAGATGAAGCAATGGGTTAAATTACCTAGCCGTTGGTATCGGCGACGGTTTTCCACGGTCAGAGTCAAATGGTCTTCAGAGCCGTTACCCCCCGCTCATTCGGACGCCAGCTGTCTCGGCTCCCGCGGGGATCATATATATCGCTCCCGCATCCACACACTCTTCTTCGGGTCACATTCTCACACTAGAATCAGAGCGCTCCATCAACGGCCTCTTCCCTTCTGAACGTTCCTTGCCGAATTCAACCGCTAGATAATTACCAAGCAATCGGAGGAAGAGAGAGCAGAATCGAAAGGAGTTTCTCGCCTGATCCCGATGATGAAAAATAGAGGTAATGTAAGATTGACTACTCTGTTCTGGGTTGAAATTTTGGAGGCACAGTCGGCCATTCCGATTTAGGGGTTTATTGGAGAATTTTAGAGATTATTCTGATTTAGGGGTTTATTGGAGAATTTTAGAGATTATTCTGATTTAGGGGTTCACTCGAGCAACTTCAGAGGTTAATCGAACGATCGGATCGTTCTTTTTCCTTTTTTGCCTGTTATCGACACCTTTTGTATTTTTCGTGGTTTCGATTATGGAGGATTAGGGCGTTTTTAGTAGGTTCATTGTTCGTTTCCATGGTAACGTGATTATTGTCTTGGATTATTCTTCGTTTCATTCCCATCATCTTCTATTTCTTCTCTGTGTGAGGAGCCAGGGAACAAACCTGATATTCAAATTTATGTGTTGGCAGAAGAGAAGAGAACGGCGAACTCTTATGTCATTGCGATTGGTTCCGATAACAGAGTGGGGAAGAACAAAGCAGGTGCTCTTGATGAAGTGATTGCTTGGGCAAAAGAAAAACAGTTGGTCCTGTCAATTCAGGCCGGTGGGAGGTTTTCGCATCTGCTAGGATTACTGGTATGATTCCAAGCCCAAGACTGTAGGAAGTAATTGTTGTTTATAAGTTTATTTTTAGTTTCATTATTTGTTGGCTGTGAAGTCGTGAATTGTAGCTTTAGCTGCTTTATTCTTGAAAAAAGATGTACCGAAAGTAAATGATGAATCAAAAAGCCTAATATCATGAAAGTCCTTTTTCTTGAGGAAGAAGTTCTGCAGGGGCCTCCCTTGCTCAATGAAGAACCATGGAATTACTGTCTTTTTATCTTCCATAAGTTCTTCACCATATTTTTTGAGGCAGCAATTAAGAAAGCTCCAAAATGTAATTGTTGCTAGCTTGGGTTGCAATGAAATAAACTCTATTACAGAATATAGAATCTTATCGACACAGTTACCATTCTGTCGAGCCAGTTTAGACAATACTTCTTATAGAACTTAGCCAGAAGGAAAAAACAGTTGACTTGTATTGTAAAATTTAGTGTCATGCACAATTGTTGTCTGCTTATTGATCTTTGGTTTACAATTGTTTGCTTATGGATTATATCAGCATCTGACTGAAAGTTCTGGAAAGTTCGATTTTGAGATGTTATAGTTTTCAGTATTTGCTTGTCTTTCAATGTTAGTGTGTCCATATTTCTTACAATAGTATTCCATTTTCTGAACTTGCACAGATTTGCGTTTAGATTCATCTAAAAGATCAAGCTCTTCTCCACTTTTAAACAATGTCGACTATGTTCACGTTCATAATATTTGGGAGTCTGTATGAGTATTTATAGCTTTTTTTCCAGCTAGTGGATGATTTGATGCACCTTTTTTTTTTTTTAAATTTGCATGTGATTTCAACATAAATGAAGGGTTTCATTTTGCTTTTCAACCACTTGAGTTTTTGAGATTGAGCTTTTGGATTCTGAATTTTCTCTTATGAACATTCCTCTAGGTCATGATGATTGAATGGACGATATGAGATATATACTAGTGTCTGGATCAATTTTTGAGACTGATTTGAGTCTGGGGCAAAATGATGGCAATCAATTTGTTGAAATCGAAGGTACTTTCTTTGTTCAACTTAATCATTTGATCAATGCATAATTATTTTTTTTCATTAATAATATCATGCAGGACGGTCCGGTTCATGTAAAGTTTGTTGTAAACAATTAGGGATGCATGAAATATAACCACACAACCCACTACGGTAAGCTATTGCTTTTACAAAACTTTTATCATTCTATTTACCGGTCAAACTTCAACAAAAATAGTTTATGTTCACTTTTAATGGTTTCAAATTATCCATATCTCATTGGTTTGACATTATTGTTCATATTTCCTTTGCTATTGGAGAAGATTTTGATTAATAACCATGTTACGAAAATTTCAGATGGAAATGGAGGACATAGATCTAATAAAGTTGTGTTCAAGGAATCCAACTCTGGTTGCTACATTCAACACTCCATCAAGTAAGAAATTTTCTATTTGACATCATAAACTACCTTATGTGTTGCCTAGATCTCAGGAGAATTACGTTATTGGCAATGTTGTGGTCCTAATAATGTTAAATTCCTATATTTAATCTTTATTATATCTTTGTTTTTTGTTTTTGATGTTACTTGTGTTCTACCGATATCATGTTTTTGGTTCAAGAGTAAACGACTGAATGTTAAAGTTGAAAGGGTTCATGAGTAAGAAATTAAATTATGTTTTTCTATTTTATGAGTGTTTTAGGTAGTTAGTGAAACCGAGTGAAAAGCCAGACTTCTGCAATTATAATAAACCCCATGAATCTATCTCAACGTTCCAATTTCCATAGAGACAATGTAAAACTCAATGATCAAAGAATCCCATTTAAAATCAATCAAACAACTAAGAGCACATCATTGGTCATTACATACTCCACATTCGGCAATAAGAGAAACCGTGCCACAACATATAGGCGAATTGCCCACAAAAGTTGTAGAAAACAAACCGATCCAAGTAACAAAACGAACAAGAACAAAGAAAAAAAAAAAAACTAAATTCAGAAGAATCGTTCATGAATAAAAGGCAATGATGAGTGGTGAGGTGAAGAAAGAGAGAAATAGGAGAAAGGGGTGGAAGATTAGGGCTGGTGCAGGCTCATCTGGGTATGTGGAAGGGAAGGCTCAGAGTATAGAGAGCACTCTGAGTTTGTCATTTCCCTCTCCATTTCAGTTTCATTGCCCCTCATTTTGCTTGTTTGACTTATGACTAGGCTTTCTCCAATGTTTTATTGCCACATCATCAATATAACAATTTAGTCTCATTATCCTTCGAGGGTCAAGGATTAAGATTGCAAAACCAAGAAAAGAACTTAAGACCGAAAGTACCCGCCTTATACAAGAAGGAACAAAATGAACATCTAAGATACGACCTTGAAGGAACAACCTTAATTATGTCAAGGTTTATTGAACATAAAGATGATAAGCTATACACAAGGATGGCCAAGAAAGACTTGTCAATCTCAACCAAGGATGTTGAGAAGACATTCAAAAGGAACAAATGCTGGAACTAGAAAACGCCTTAAGGCATAAGTTAAGGAACAAATGCTGGTCATCCTTAAGGCATAAAGATTATGGAAGGCCAAAGGTATTGCAAGACTTTCAAGAAAAGAAACTTAAGAACTAAAAAAACATGCCTCGTACAAGAAGGAATAAAAGGAACATATAAGATAAGACCTTGAAAGGTGATAAACTTTACGATTTAAGGAAACATAAGGATGACCAAGGACGACTTGTCAATCTCAACAAAGGATGTTAAGAAGACGCTCAAAAGAAACAAATGTTGGAACTGGAAAACGAGATTAAGTTAAGAACTAAAGGTATGATTATAAGGATTATGGAAAGCCAAGAGTAGTTACAAGGATTAAGAAAAGCCTAGTAATACCGACAAAAGAACTTAAAACCCAAACAACCTAAGACTTATCAATTTCAACAAAGGATGTTGAGAAGACACAAACAACCTAAGACTTGTCAATTTCAACAAGGATGTTGAGAAGACAGTTAAAATGAACAAATGCCGGAACGAGAAAATGTCTTAGGGAATAAGATAAGAACTAAAGGCTACAAGGGCAAATTGTAAGGATTATGAAAGGCCAACGGTAGTTACAAGGATTAAGGAAAGACTTTAATATCAAGAAAAGAAGAACTTAAGACCAAAAGAACCCATGTTATACAGAAAGGAATAAATACATCTAATATAAGACATGATAATCTCAACAAAGGATGTTGAGAAGACAATCGAAAGGAACAAATCTTGGAACCAGTACATGCCTTAAGACTTGTTAAGAACTAACGGCGACAAGGACTTAATTATAAGGATTATGAACGACCAAGGGATGTTATAAGGATTAAGGAAGACCTTGTAATACCGAGAAAAGAAGAGCTTAAGACCCAAAAACCCTCCCTTGTACACGCCTTAGGACATAAGTTAAGAACAAAGGCCACTAGGGCTGACTATAAGGATTATGGACGACCAAGGGATGTTACAAGGATTAAGAAAGACCTTGTAATACCGAGAAAAGAAGAGCTTAAGACCCAAAGAACATGCCTTGTACACTGCTTAAGAAAGACCTTGTAATACCGAGAAAAGAAGAGCTTAAGACCCAAAGAACATGCCTTGTACACTGCTTAAGACATAAGTTAAGAACTAACGGCCACCAGGGCTGATTATAAGGATTATGGACGACCATGGGATGTTACAAGGATTAAGGAAGAACTTGTAATACCGAGAAAAGAAGAGCTTAAGACCCAAAGAACCTGCCTTGTACACTGCATAAGACATAAGTTAAGGACTAACGGCCACCAGGGCTGATTATAAGGATTATGGACGACCCAAAGAACCTGCCTTGTACACTGCATAAGACATAAGTTAAGGACTAACGGCCACCAGGGCTGATTATAAGGATTATGGATGACCAAGGGATGTTACAAGGATTAAGGAAGATCTTGCAATACCGAGAAAAGAAGAGCATAAGACCCAAAGAACCTGCCTTGTACACTACTTAAGACATAAGTTAAGAACTAACGGCCACCAAGGCTGATTATAAGGATTATGGACGACGACTAAGAGATGTTACAAGGATTACGGAAGACCTTGTAATACCGAGAAAAGAAGAGCTTAAGACCCAAAGAACCTGCCTTGTACACGCTTTAAGACATAAGTTAAGAACTAACGGCTACAAGAGCTGATTATGAGGATTATGGACGACCAAGGGATGTTACAAGGATTAAGGAAGACCTTGTAATACCGAGAAAAGAAGAGCTTAAAACCCAAAGAACCCGCCTTGTACACGCCTTAAGACAGAAGTTAAGAATTAACGGCCACAAGGGCTGATTATAAGGATTATGGACGACCAAGGGATGTTACAAGGATTAAGAAAGACCTTGTAATACCGTAAGAACTAACGGCGACAAGGGATGATTATAAGGATTATGGACGACCAAGGGATGTTACAAGAATTAAGGAAGACCTTGTAACACCGAGAAAAGAAGAGCTTAAGACTCAAAGAACCTGCCTTGTACACGCCTTAAGACATAAGTTAAGACCTAACGGCCACCAGGACTTATTATAAGTATTATGGACGACCAAGGGATGTCACAAGGATTAAGGAAGACCTTGTAATAACGAGAAAAAAAGAGCTTAAGACCCAAAGAACTTGCCTTGTACACTGCTTAAGACATAAGTTAAGAACCAACGGCCACCAAGGCTGATTATATGGATTATGGACGACCAAGGTATGTTACAAGAATTAAGGACCTTGTAATACCAAGAAAAGAAAAGCTTAACCCAAAGAACTTTCCTTGTACACTCCTTAAGACATAAATTAAGAACTAACGGCGACAAGGGCGGATTATAAGGATTATGGATGACCAAGGGATGTTACAAGGATTAAGAAAGACCTTTTAATACCGAGAAAATAAGAGATTAAGACCCAAAGAACTTGACTTCTACACAGCTGAAGAAATAAGTTAAGAATTGACAGCCACCAGGGCTGATTATAAGGTATATGGACGACCAAGGGATGTTACAAGGATTAGGGAAGACCTTGTACTACCCAGAAAAAAAGAGCTTAAGACCCAAAGAACCTGCCATGTACACGCCTTAAGACATAAGTTAAGAACTAACGGCCTCCAGGGCTGATTATCAGGGTAATGGACGACCAAGGGATGTTACAAGGATTAAGGAAGACTTTGTAATATCGAGAAAAGAAGAGTTTAAGACCCGAAGAACCTGCTTGTACACGCCTTAAGACATAAGTTAAGAACTAACGATCTCCAGGGCTGATTTGAAGGATTATGGACGACCAAAGGATGTTAAAAGGATTAAGGAAGACCTTGTAATACCGTAAGAACTAACGTCGACAAAGGCTGATTATAAGGATTATGGACGACCATGGGATGTTACAAGGATTAAGGAAGACCTTGTAATACCGAGAAAAGAAGAGCTTAAGACCCAAAGAACCTGCCTTGTGCAATGCTTAAGACATAAGTTAAGAACTAATGGCCACCACGGCTGATTATAAGGATTACGGACAACCAAGGTATGTTACAAGGATTAAGGAAGACCTTGTAATACTGAGAAAAGAAGAACTTTAGACCGAAAGAACCTTCCTTGTACACGCCTTAAGAGATAAGTTAAGAACAAACGGCCACTAGGGCTGATTATAAGGATTATGGACGACTAAGGGATGTTACAGGAAGACCTTGTAATACCGAGAAAAGAAGAGCTTAATTCCCAAAGAACCTACGTTGTACATACCTTAAGACATAAGTTAAGAACTAACGGCCACCAGGGCTGATTATAAGGATTATGGACGACCAAGGGATGTTACAAGGATTAAGGAAGACCTTGTAATACCGAGAAAAGAAGAGCTAGAGTCCCAAAGAACCTGCCTTGTACACTGCTTAAGACATAAATTAAGAACCAACGGCCACCCAGGCTGATTATAAGGATTATGGACGATTAAGGGATGTTACAAGAATTGAGGAAGACCTTGTACTACCGCGAAAAGAATTGCTTAAGACCCAAAGAACTTGCCTTGTACACTGCTTAAGACATAAGTTAAGAACTAACGGCCATCGGAGTTGATTATAAGGTTTATGGACGACCAAGGGATGTTACAAGATTAAGGAAGACCTTGTAATACCGAGAAAAGAAGAGCTTAAGACCCAAAGAACTTTCCTTGTACACTCCTTCAGACATAAGTTAAGAACTAACGGCGACAAGGGCGGATTATAAGGATTATGGACGACCAAGGGATGTTACAAGGATTAAGAAAGACCTTTTAATACCGAGAAAATAAGAGCTTAAGACCCAAAGAACTTGCCTTGTACACTGCTTAAGAAATAAGTTAAGAACTGACAGCCACCAGGGCTGTTTATAAGGATTATGGACGACCAAGGATTGTTACAAGGATTAAAGGATTAAGGAAGACCTCGTAATACCGTAAGAACTAACGGCGACAAGGACTGATTATAAGTTTTATGGACGACCATGGGATGTTACAAGGATTAAGGAAGACCTTGTAATACCGAGAATAGAAAAGCTTAAGACCCAAAGAACCTGCCTTGTACACGCCTTAAGACATAAGTTAAGAACTAACAGCGACAAGGGCTGATTATAAGGATTATGGACGACTAAATGAAGTTACAAGGATTTGGGAAGACCATGTAATACTGAGAAAAGAAGAGCTTAAGACCCAAAGAACCTGCGTTGTACACGCCTTAAGACATAAGTTAAGACCTAACAGCCACCAGGGCTGATTATAAGGATTATGGATGACCAAAGGATCTTACAAGGATTAATGAAGACCTTGTAATACCGAGAAGAGAAGAGCTTAAGACCCAAAGAACCTACCTTGTACACGCCTTAAGACATAAGTTACGAACTAACGGCCACCAAGGCTGATTATAAGGATTATGGACGACCGTGAGATGTTACAAGGATTAAGGAAGATCTTGTAATACCGAGAAAAGAATAGCTTAAGACCCAAAGAACCTTTCTTGTACACGCCTTAAGACATAAGTTCAAAACTAACGGCCACCCAAGCTGACTATAAGGATTATGGACGACCATGGAATATTACAAGGATTAAGGAAGACATTGTAATACCGAGAAAAAAAGATCTAAGATCTAAAGAACCTGCCTTGTACATGTCTTAACACATACGTTAAGAACTAACGACGACAAGGGCTGATTATAAGGATTATGGACGTCCATGGAATGTTACAAGGATTAAGGAATACCTTGTAATACTGAGAAAAGAAGAGCTTAAGACCCAAAGAATTTTCCTTGTACAAGCCTTAGAGGTAAGTTAAGAACTAATGGCGACTAGGGCTGATTATAAGGATTATGGACGACCAAGGGACGTTACAAAGCTTAAGGAAGACCTTGTAATACCGAGAAAAGAATAGCTTTAGACATAATTTAAGAACTAACGGCCACCAGGGCTGTTTATAAGAATTATGGACGACCAAGCGATGTTACAAGGATTAAGGAAGACCTTGTAATACCGAGAAAAGAAGAGCTTAAGACCTAAAGAACCTGCCTTGTACACGCCTTAAGACATATAAGTTAAGAACTAACGGCCACCAGGGCTGATTATAAGGATTATGGACGACCAAGGATTGTTACAAGGATTAAGGAAGACCTTGTAATACCGTAAGAACTAACGACGACAAGGGCTGATTATAAGGATTATGGACGACCATGGGATGTTACAAGGATTAAGGAAGACCTTGTAATACCGTAAGAACTAACGACGACAAGGGCTGATTATAAGGATTATGGACGACCATGGGATGTTACAAGGATTAAGGAAGACCTTGTAATACCGAGAAAAGAAGAGCTTAAAGACCTGAAGAACCTGCCTTGTACACATCTTAAGACATAAGTTATGACCTAACGGCCACCAGGGCTGATTATAAGTATCATGGGGACGACCAAGGGATGTCACAAGGATTAAGGAAGACCTTGTAATAACGAGAAAAAAAGAGCTTAAGACACAAAGAACTTGCCTTGTACACGCCTTAAGACATAAGTTAAGAACTAACGGCAACTAGGGCTGATTAAAAGGATTATGGACAACCAAGGGATGTTACCAGTATTAAGGAAGACCTTTTAATACCGACAAAAGAAGAGCTTAAACCCCAAAGAACCTGCCTTGTACACTGCTTAAGACATAAGTTAAGAACTGACAGCCATCAGGGCTGATTATAAGGATTATGGATGACCAAGGGATTTTACAACGATTAAGGAAGACCTTGTAATACCAAAAAAAGAAGAGCTTAAGACCCAAAGAACCTGCCTTGTACACACCTTAAGGCATAAGTTAGGAACTAACGGTGACAAGGGCTGTTGATAAGGATTATGGACGACCAAGTGATGTTACAAGGATTAAGAAAGACCTTATAATATCGAGAAGAGAAGAGCTTAAGACCCAAAGAACCTGTCTTGTACACGCCTTAAGACATAAGTTAAGAACTAACGGCCACCAGGGCTGATTATACGGATTATGGACGACCAAGGGATGTTACAAGGATTATGGAAGACCTTGTAATACCGATAAAAGAGCTGAAGACCCAAAGAACCTGCCTTGTACACGCCTTAAGACATAAGTTAAGAACTAACGGCAACAAGGGCTTATTATAAGGATTATGGACGACTAAATGAAGTTACAAGTATTTGGGAAGACCATGTAATACCGAGAAAAGAAGAGCTTAAGACCAAAGAACCTGCCTTGTACACGCCTTAAGACATAAGTTAAAACCTAACGGCCACCAGGGCTTATTATAAGGATTATGGACGACTAAGGGAAACAAGGATTAAGGAAGACCTTGTAATACTGAGAAAAGAAGAGCTTAAGACCCAAAGGACCTACGTTGTACACTTCTTAAGACATAAGTTAAGAACTAACGGCCACCCGGGCTGATTATAAGGATTATGGATGACCAAGGGATCTTACAAGGATTAAGGAAGACCTTGTAATACCGAGAAGAGAAGAGCTTAAGACCCAAAGGACCTGCCTTGTACACTGCTTAAGACATATGTTAAGAACTAACGTCCACCAGGGCTGATTATAAGGATTATGGACGACCAAGGGATTTTAGACGACCAAGGAAGACCTTGTAATACCGAAAAAAGAAGAGCTTAAGACCCAAAGAACCATCCTTGTACACGCCTTAAGACATAAGTTAGGAACTAACGGTGACAAGGGCTGTTGATAAGGATTATGGACGACCAAGTGATGTTACAAGGATTAAGAAAGACCTTATAATACCGAGAAAATAAGAGCTTTAGACCCAAAGAACCTGCCTTGTACACGCCTTAAGACATAAGTTAAGAACTAACGACGACAAGGGCTGATTATAAGGATTATGGATGATCAAGGGATGTTACAAGGATTAAGGAAGACCTTGTAGTACCGAGAAAAGAAGAGCTTAAAACCCAAAGAACCCGCCTTGTACACGCCGTAAGACATAAGTTAAGAACTAACGGCGACAAGGGCTTATTATAAGGATTATGGACGACCATGGGATGTTACCAGGATTAAGGAAGACCTTGTAATACCGAGAAACGAAGAGCTTAAGATCCAAAGAACCTGTCTTGTACAAGAAGGAACAAAAGGAACAAATGTCGGAACAAGTATATGCTTTAGGCATGAATTAAGGACTAAAGGCCACAAAGGCTGATTTTAAGGATTATTGACGACCAAGGAATTTTATAAGGATTAAGAAAAGCCTTGTTATACCGAGAAGAAAACTTAAGATCCAAAGAACCTTCCTTGTACAAGACGTTACAAAAGGAACATCTAAGCTACGACCTTGAAGAAAAAAACATTGATTATGTTAAGGCCTCTTAAACATAAAGACGATAAGATCTACGATATAGGGAAACACAAGGATGACCAAGAAAGACTTGACAATCTCAACAAAGGATGTTAAGAATATAGTTGAAAGGAACAAATGTCGGAACAAGTACATGCCTGACGGTATAAGTTAAGAATTAAATGCCATAAGGGCTAATCATATGGATTATGGTGTCCAGGAATGTCACAAAGATTAAGGAAGGTAGTTACGTTGAGAAAAGAAGAACTTAAAACCTTAAGAACCCGCCTTGTACAAGAAGAAACAAAAGAAACATCTAAGATAAGACTTTACAATCTCAACAAAGAATGTTGAGTAGACCGTCAAAAGAACCAAATGTCGGAACAAGTACATGAATTAAGGCATAAGTTAAGAACTAATGGCCACAAGGGCTTATTTAGATTATGGATGGCCAAGAGATGTTATAATGATTAAGGAGGAAGGCCTTGTTATACCGAGAAAAGAAGAACTTAAGTCCAAAACAACCCGCTTGTACAAGAAGGAACAAAAGGATTATCTAAAATAAAACTTCAAATGTCGGAATAAATACATGACTTAATAACATAAGTTAAGGACTAAAGGCCACAAGGGCTGATTATAAGGATTGTGGAACAGTCAAGAAATGTTACAATGATTAAGGAAGGAAGGTCTTGTTATATCGAGAAAAGAAGAATTTAAGACCTGAAGAACTTGCCTTGTACAAGAATGAACAAAATGAAGATCTAAGATAAGACTTGACAATTTCAACAAAGGATGTTGAGAAGCTATTTAAAGGGAACAAATGTCGAAACAAGTACATGCCTTAAGACATAAGTTAAGAACTAAAGGCCACAAAGGCTGATTATAAGGATTATGGACGGCCAAGGGATGTTACAAGGATTATGGACGGCCAAGAGATGTTACAAGGATTAAGGAATGCTTTGTTATACCGAGAAAAAAAGAACTTAAGACTCCACAATCCTTAAGACATAAGTTAAGAACTCAAGGCCACAAAGGCGGATTATAAGGATTATGGACGGCCAAGAGATGTTACAAGGATTATGGACAGCCAAAGGATGTTACACGGATTAAGGAAGGCTTTGTTATACCGAGAAAAAAAGAACTTAAGACCCCACAAGGATGACCAAGGAAAAGTTGTCAATCTCAATAAAGAATGTTGAGAAGACAGTCAAAAGTAACAAAGGCGGGAAGAAGAAAATGCAT